CCTCACACACACACCCCCCCACCCCCCCATCCCTGCAGTCCTGGGGTGCTCAGGCCTTCAGCTGGTGCCACTGTGCCACCGCCTGCCGGGGACGGGCGATCATGTCCTTCCAGTGCTTCACCTCCCCGGGGCCGCTCTTCCAGGACAGGTAGATCTGTGGGGACAAGTAGCCCTTGGACCACCCCCGGTTGCCTTCCTGGTCCCCTCCATCCCCACCTCACTCCCCTCCATCCCCCGGCGCTGCCACCTTCATCCCCGACCTCCTCTGTCCCCGTGCCACCGGCCGCGGGCACCGGCCCCGGGCTCCGCGTGGTGCCAGGCTATTTTTATCCATCGATTTTCCATACGGTGACGTGGAAAACGGCCCGTGCCAGCCTTCAGCGTGGCCACCTCTCGGGCTAACACCAGTCCTCATGGTAGAGCATTGGGTGCCACCATGCCTGTGTCACCAGCCATGTCCCCACGGGGTTGTGCCAGCTGTCGTGGCCACCCCCTCCCAGATTTATCCCCATTTATGTGTTTTCTCGATGACAGCATGGCATTTGGTGGTCACCAACCAGCACGGTGAGGGGTTTGGGGGTCACCAAAGGGCACGGCGAGGGGTTTGGGGGTCACCAACCAGCACGGTGAGGGGTAATCAGGGCAATTAGCACACTCATTTGTCATCGTTACCCTAACGAGCCCAGAGCTTGTTGGGTTTAACATCAATCAAACCCAGAGGGGGGTGAACTCCTCTATTCCTCTCCTCAAACTGGGGCTGGGGTCTGTCCGGTGGTGACAAGGACCCCTGGGCACCCACCCTGTGCCCCATGTCCCTGCTCTCCAGGGGATGGGGACACCACGGAGGGGCCTCTGTCTCTACCTGGTGCCGTGACGCACAGGAGCCATCGGGGACTTCGATTTTTTTGCCTGGCTATAAATAGCCTTTTTGGCAGGTTCACGCCGGCCCCGGCGCAGGCTGTGCCGCAGCATGACGTGGGGGCATTGTCACCTGGATGGGGGCCACCACATGGTCTGTCACCTGGATGGGGGCCACCACATGGTCCCCAGGTGAGTCTTTGCCCGCCGGGACCAGAGGGGAAAGCCAGCACAAGGAGCCCCCACCATGTTCCACCTTCTTCTCCCGCTCAAGATGGCACCAGCCACCATCAGCCAGGAACCCGGCTGTCCCCTGGGTGCCATCCCTCCATGGGACACATTGCTGGGGTCCCTCCACCGCCGTCGGGACCCACCTTGCCGATGACATCGTTGCGGCTCAGCCTGTCCTTGTCCATGACGGTGATGACGATGGTGGTCTCACGCAGCCGCTCGGTGGGGATGTCGAAGGCGAAGGACTCGTTGAAGACGGGGTTCAGGCACCGCTTCATGACCACCGTCTTCTTCTTCTCCACCCGCTTGTCCTTGTACATCAGCCACACCTTCACGTAGGGGTCTGAGGGGGGGGATGACACAGGAGCGGCTCTTAGCCCCTGGCTGGGCATTGGGTGGCCATGCACAGCGTGGCAGGAGCTGGAGCTCATACCTGACGTGCCCCCGATGTCCATGGCTTTGAGGTTCCGCGCTTTGATGATGTTCACCACGATGGAGTTGGCGGAAGGGTTGTAGCACAGCGACAGCAGCAGCTCCCCACGGCTCCCCTGGAGGACCCATGGAGGCCGTCAGGTGGATGCCCCCCAAAACGCCCACTCTTTCCCACCACACCCAGCACAAGCCCCAATGGCACCCAAAGGCTACTGTGTCCCACCACGCAGGGACCCTCTGGGCTGGGACCCTCCCCCTCAAAGAGCTGTCCCAAGGGTGGAGACTTTGGGGCCACGTGGAAAATCAGGGCAGGAGGAAACGGGGCCATCCCCAGTGGGACGTTTCCTGGTCTTGCTGGAGGCAAGAGAAAAAGCAAACTTCCATTTTAGATCTCCCTGAAACAGCTCGTTTTGACCCAAAATTAAGACACTTGCTTTGGGCTACTTAGTGCCTTAATTTATAGATAAAGATCTGGGAAGAAGAACCTCCCCATCAGACCTTGAACCTTCTCATAAAGTGGAAAACGTCGCCATTGGGTGTAACAAGAGGGTGGTCATCCTGTTGGGACACCACAGGGACTGTTCCCAAGGGGTGGGAGGGGGACCAGGGCCTTACACTGCCGTCGCTGCACGGCTTCAGGTCCTTCCAGAAGGTCTGCATCTGGGTGAGGTCCACCTTGTTGAGGGGGATGGACACCTCCCCGATGGGGTCATTGCGGCTGAAGCGGTCGTAGTCCAGGACCTGGAGGTACAGCACCCGCTGCACCACCTTCTCGTAGGGGAACCCTGTGCCAGAGAAGGGATGAGGAGCCATCATGATCACACCAAGAAGCACCCGCTACTGGTGCCACCCTGCCTTGCTTGTGGTGATGGGGAGATGGTGGCACCAGGGAGCAGATGGGGAGCAGATGACAGCACGGGGCACCTCTCGTGGTGGCTTCAGGCCACCATGGTGGGTGGTAGCAGATGAATTCCCCTGTGTGCATCCACCTACTGTGGGGGAATGAGCCTCCCCTGTGTCCCCTTCATGAAATGCAGAGCAAACACCTCCAACCTGGCCTTGATAGCTTGGCCAACCCATCTCATCACCGATGGCCACCACATTGGCAGCTCAAGCTGAGCTGATCCAGCCCAGGAGGGAGGACAGATGTCCCCACAACTGCTCCTCTCCCACCCCAGTCCATCCCAGTCCCTACCTTCGAAGAGGAAGGTCTCGTTCCAGTGCGGGTTGAGGTTCTTCCGCTTCACCTTGGTCTCCAGCTTGTGCTTCTTGTCGGGGAGCAGGTAGATCTTGACGAAGGGGTCGCTGGTGCCGCTGAAGTCCTTGGCCGGAAGCTCTTGCGCCTTCATGATCTTGACGGTCAAGGTGGACTCCTGGAAGTTGTAGCCGACGCTGAACTGGATGCGGCCCAGGTTCTCCCGGCTGACGCCTTCGTGGCCCTCATCATCCTCGGAGCCCGGGGAGAGCTGCGGTGGGGGGAAACAGGTGGTGAGACCAGTGCTGGTGGAGGGGGGGGAGTCTGCACACCCTCATCCCTCCCCCAATTTCAGCACCCAGCCCTGCGAGCTGTCAGGGGGCATCAGCCTCTCCCCGGCTCCTTGCCACCACCACCGCCTGGGATGACTCCTGGCTCAGTGCCACACGTCCCCGGGGAGCGCCAATTAACCAAATTCCTCCTGACAAGCCCCGTCCCTCCCGGCTCTGGCATTGCTCCCTCCTGCCATCCCCGGGGAGGGGGGACGATGACACACACACACACACAACCGGCTGCGTCACCTCGGCTGAGCCCTGGTTGAGGTGGCCACGGTGGCCACGGTTGTGACGGGGACTTGGCAAGAGAAGGGTGGGACGTGCCAGAAAGGTTGTGGCACAGGGTGGGAGCGGGGAAGGGGGGATTGTCCCAGGGGACAGCCGAGGGGGGTGGGATGCCATCCTTGGGGACCCCCCAATCCACCCACCATCAGCATCTCGCTGGTCAGGGAGTTGACCAGGTCGGAGACGGAGGAGTGCGGCTCCGTCTTGCGGTCGGACTCATCCTGGGGCGGCTGCCCGGGCACCGGCGCCGTGTTCACCGCCTTGCCGCCGGTTGGCAACCTGGGCAAAGAGAGGGCAGCGCCTTAGAGGAGGGGTGGGGGGTCCCAAGAGCCGAAGGGGGAGATGGCGAGGGGCTTCCTGGGGCACCCTCTCCCGGCGGATGCTGTGCCAGCCCCCGAGATGGGATGGGATGCGGGCAGAGCTGGGCTGTGCCACCCGCTGCGTGTCCCCTGGGCCAGGTGCCACCAGGGCCGGGTGCCAGGCGGTGCCCTGGGACACGTGGCATGCTGTCCCCGAGCACGGCAGCAGGTCACCCCCCCCTTCCCGGCCACGTCCTGCTCCTGGCACCCACCAGAGAGCCCACGGTGATGCCAGGGATGCTCACGGCTACCAGGTCCCCACGAGATGACCCACGGGTCCTTCACGCTGCGGTGCCCGGTGTTAATTGTCCCCTTTTTTCCTTCTGCCACCAAGCCCCCCATGGTGTCCTGCAGCCAGGACCCCCGTCCTGGTTGTCCCCACACACCCTTGGGTTGTGGTAGCCGGGTGGGTAGGCAAGGTGCCGGGGAGGGTGGGCAACCAGAAGCCACGGCGGGCACAGGGGGAAGAGAGCAGCGATGGAGGCGGGTGGGCACGCACCGGGGCCACGCTGCCACGAGGCACAAAGGGGAAAAGAAGGGGACACCAGGCACATGGTGGCATGGACCGGGGTGGCTCTGGCGGTGCAGAGAGATCCGAGGGGGGGATGCGCACACAGACATGGCACCCCACGATGATGTGCCCCCCCACACCCCCCACCCCGTCCCCCAAGCTGAGACACGGTGACAAACCACAAGAAATGGACCCAAAAGGGACACGGGAGGTGACGGGCAGCAGCCCCGGAGCGGGCAAAAGCCACAAGGCATGCCACGAAGACACCCACCGACACGCCAAGCACACGGCGAGGGGGGGGGAAACCATGGGGATGTGGTGGCCCACGGGGTGGCACGTGGGTGGGCACCCTCTCGCACACCCACACACAATACACACACACGGCTATTCCGCAGGCAGGGAGGACCGCCGAGGCCGAGGCAGCTGGGGAGGGAAAACTAGGTTAAAAAGAGAGCAAAAAGGGAAAAAATAAAACAAACAATGAAGGCGGAGGAACCGGTGGCGGGACCCGCTGGGCGAGGAGGTGCCGGTGGAGCCGTGGGTGCCGGGGCCGGTGGAGGTCACGGGTGGCAACGAGAGAGAAAGAGCAGGAAAAAGCAAGAGAAAGGAGGAAAAAGGAGGAGAAAAAGGAGGAAAAAGGAAGTTAAAAAGGAGGAAAAGGGCCCCGTCCCCCAAGCTGAGACACGGTGACAAACCACAAGAAATGGACCCAAAAGGGACACGGGAGGTGACGGGCAGCAGCCCCGGAGCGGGCAAAAGCCACAAGGCATGCCACGAAGACACCCACCGACACGCCAAGCACACGGCGAGGGGGGGGGAAACCATGGGGATGTGGTGGCCCACGGGGTGGCACGTGGGTGGGCACCCTCTCGCACACCCACACACAATACACACACACGGCTATTCCGCAGGCAGGGAGGACCGCCGAGGCCGAGGCAGCTGGGGAGGTAAAACTAGGTTAAAAAGAGAGCAAAAAGGGAAAAAATAAAACAAACAATGAAGGCGGAGGAACCGGTGGCGGGACCCGCTGGGCGAGGAGGTGCCGGTGGAGCCGTGGGTGCCGGGGCCGGTGGAGGTCACGGGTGGCAACGAGAGAGAAAGAGCAGGAAAAAGCAAGAGAAAGGAGGAAAAAGGAGGAGAAAAAGGAGGAAAAAGGAAGTTAAAAAGGAGGAAAAGGGAGGAAAAGGGAGGAAAAGGGAGGAAAAGGGAGGAAAAAGGGAGGAAAAAGGAAGGAAAAAGGAGGAAAAAGGAGGAAAAAGGAGGAAAAAGGAGGAAAAAGGAGGAAAAGCGTCGTTCACCACCAGCCTGCCAGGAGGGAAAGGAGGGAGGGGCTGGGGGGGGGGGGGGAAGGAAGAGAGGAGGAGGAGGGGGGGGGGGGGGGGGGGGGGGGGGGAAGAGAAGAGCAGGGTGGATGGACAGACGGACAGACGGACGGAGAGCAGTTGGTTGCCAGGACAGGAGAGACGCCGAGGCTGGAGCTGCCGGGGTCAGGCTGGAAGGAAGAAGCTGAGAAACGAGGGATGGA